GCTGCGTGCCTGCCTGTGGTTGGTGGCCATACTGCTTTTTGTTTATAGAATTTGCTGTTCTTTTTATGGCAGGTTTGGTAGGGTTGGTCTGTGTTGTTTTATTTTTCCTTCCTTGTTGATGGAGATTAGCAGCATAAATCCTTTTATGGCGGTGCGCCTCCCCATAAACTCTGGTGACTGTTGTGATGGTGAGGCCTGCATCTACTCAGGTTCATGCTACGCCCGGTCCAGGCTTCTCCAACCACATCATGGGGTCCAAATAGGCAGGCTTCATTTTTAAGAGTCCTGCACTGGGGGGACTCAAGGAGGTGGGGCAAGGCTAGGGATGAGAGAAAGAGATGTTTAATGAAGCCTAGAAATAGTTGTGATGAAAAGGAACTGTTCGTTGTAGTATTTTCAAGTGAAAGGCTCCTTGGAAGACTTAGTGGCAAGAAGGAAGCCCCCGTGTGAAGGGTTGACTTGGGTTTTTCAATAGCTCCTTGTGTTCTTATCTAAAGCACCTTGACTGAACAATGTTCAATAGTAAATCTTCACTGTACCTCCCACAGGGCATGCTGAGTTAGGGAGTGGGTGCCTGTGTATTTTGACTGCCTAGCAGGTTGTGAGTAGCTGTGCCTCACTACCTTGAAGGTAGAAACACTTCCACATGGCGGAGTTAGGGCTCCTGGGAATGCGTCACCATTTTTCCAGTCTTCCCAGACCTCTGGGCAAAGAGAAGTCAAACTTGATTGAAAACGTTGATCCCAGGAATTCAGTTTTCTCTGCCATTCCAAAACTGAAATCCAAGAATCAGCAATTTAATGAAAATGCAGTAAATTAGCACCTCTAGACAAGAGCAGAGTTCATTCAGAGCTGGGGTCTGCCTGGCTGAGCCAGTACTCTCTCCATTTTAATAGTTTAATAAAAATTAGCATAATTAACGAACATCTGTATGATCCAGAGTGGTGCAATTTGGCACTTGGAAACGAGGGCTTAAACATGATTGCTGTGAGTTTAATGTTGTTTTAATTCTTTTTGGCACTGTGCAGTGAAATAAACGTTTGGTGGTGATCGTTCTCGGCCGGATCTCATTTGCATTTTTCTCCCTTTGATTATGAGCAATTGTGGACTCCCCAGCAATTCATCAAAGTAGAAATTATTTTAAAATACCTCGTGGTGTTCAGACTGGGTTGGAGCAATACATAGGGTGGGGGTGGGGTTGGTAGAGGAAGAGAAGTCTAGAAATTTTCCATTCATACTTTAAACATTTCAGCCCTGCAGCCCTGTAGAGGTGTCCAGCCAAGGGCTGAAACCTGGAAAAGACAGTCAGATCCCAAGGCCTGTCCCTGCTTTGATGAAGCTCCCAGGCTCCCCCAGCAGGATACATATGGTCTTGGAGACTTGTGTCGTCCTCCTCACACTTCTGCCTGTTTTTTTGTTTTGAAGGGCGGAGGGTTGACTTCTCTCGTTTCGGCTCTCACCACCGTGGTGAGACAGCATCTGGGGCTGCAGGGTCATTGTTCCCCTCCAGCAAGAGCTCACTGACTGGGAGACCAGCCCTGACAGGTGCCCTGCTGCGCCTCATCTGCCTCCAGTTTGCACCCTCTTCAAGTTGGCAGGGAGCGCCTTCCCGAGCTAAGTCCCCACTTCTGGCTTTACAGCTGAAGGGGTTTGCAAAGCCCAAGTCCAAGCCAGGAGTCTGGAGTGGTCCCCGTCTGAGCCCCTCCGGTGACAAAGACAATGGTGTCTGGCAGGTGGGAGATCACGCGTCACACAGGCCTAAGCAAGTTGACTGAGCAAAGGCTGTCAGACGGCGTTGTGCCCACCCTGTGCCTGTGAGAGAGGGGACGAGCTAAAGTTAGAGTTTCTGTGAGTTACAGTGAGGCAGGAAGATGTTTTCCTTCACAGCCCGGCCCTGCAGACATAGTCATTCTAGCCGCGTGCTAGACAAAGCAACACTACAAAAAAAAAAAAAACTCAAGGCCAAAGCTGCCCTAGCTCCAGTGTCAGAAAATGGACAGTAACAGGACTTGTACCAAGAGGAGCTTAAAAAAGGTCCTGAAATGGCACATGGGTGATTTGCTGATGGGAAGCCCACGGGGTTTACAGCTGAGATGGAAAAAGGTACAAAATGACGTAAAAATGAACTATTATTTTTTTTTAAATCTCCTGACATGTGTAGGCTAGAGAATAGTGGGTAATTTCCCAGCAGGCATTGGGGTGGTGGGGTAAGGGGTGGCGGTGGAGGTGGGGGCATGATGCCTCTGCTGGAGGTGGCACAGGAGAGGTGTGGGTATGTCCACTTATTTAGGACTGATTTTAAACAGAAGATTTCTGTTCCTTTAGGATCAACTCATCGTCTAGCTCCTTATGCCACCTGAGACTCTCCTTCCGGTATTTAGGGAGCCATTCAGGGAAACTGTCTCGAAAGGCAGTTGCTCTTTTCCTGCCACAACCAGTTCAGCCACCAGGGGAATGACTCTGAGTTGGTTTTCAGCTGAGGGTATAAATTCCCATTGCTCCCTTCGTTTCTTCATAACCTCATTTAACAAGGATGTTTCTGGTCCTATTCCGTGCTGGGCACCATGCTGAGTGCTGGGAATACGCAGCAAGCAAAACCAGGGCTCTCTGAGCTCTCCCGGAACTTTCCACCTAGTGACTGACATTGAGACAAAGGCAGGTCGGAGGCAAGGCAGTGTGATGGACTCACAGGGCACAGCCCAGAGGACCACAAAGCAAGGCCCCCACACAGTGAGATAGACAGGAGAGGCTTCTAGAGAGTGACTCAGAATTGAGCTCTGAGGGCTGCTTAGGGCAGAGCCTCCAGGAAAGGGACACAATTCTACCCAGCAGAGGAGAGGAAAGGCTCCGAACTAAGAGAAACTGTGCCCCCCCACACGTGGGAGTGGCTGAGATGCATTGTTTACCAAGGGGCCACCGAGTGGGGGGGGGGTGACTAATAACCCTAGCAAGTGAGCGGAACCACGTCACAAGCACCTTGTGCACCATGTTAAGAAATTGCCAGTAGGCAGTGGGAACCCACTTAAAGGTTACAGCAGAGCAGTGACATTATGTTGTGCACTTTAGAAAGGTTCTGGCTGCAGAATGAAGAATAGATTGGTAGGGAGCAAGAGTGGAGCTTGTTCTATAGTCCGCATGGGAAATGGCAGTGGTGTGAGTCTACAGGATTGGCGACGGGACTGGAGAGATGGGATGGACTCCAGAATGTTTTGGAGATGTGGAAGGACTCAAGGGCTGTTTGTTGAGTGGGATGAAACTAGAAACAGCGCCTCATGTATGGTTTGGGTAAATGCACGGTAGCAAGGTCACCACTCAGCAAGGTTGAGAACACAGGAGGTAAAGGTAGGTTGGGCAGGGGGATGGGGACAGAGAAAGGATGCGGGTTTACAGTGAGACATATTGCATTTGAGCAACTAGAAGGAAATGTACTTGGGTCTTGGGACCCAACTTAGATCCATGCTGGCGCTGAGTTTGTGGGTGGTTAAACAGACATGGTGGCTAACCTACACAAGTGTGTGTTTGCTGAAAGAGTGTGCATCAGTGCGGCCTCCCAGGTGACACAGGGATTAAAGTCTCAGCTCTGTCTCACCAGCCACTCTGGCATGAGTTCGATCCCCTGCCAGGCAGCTGACCCACATGGCGCGGCAGACCTCTCCTGTCTCCCCACTGCTCCCCTCAGCAGTGTTTCAGTGGATCTACCTGTTGTGCTCCCCACTGGTGAATTTTCTCACCACCACCCCCCCACACACACACACCCCTCTGGCTTATACCCCAGTTCTTGTATGCATAAATAAATAAAAACCTTTTTTTAAAAAAAAGGAGGAATAAAGAAAGATGAACTTGCAAAGGAGAATGAGAAGAAGCAATCAGAGAGGTAGGAGGGAAATCAGCAGAGTCTGGTGATCACAGAAACTAAGAGGAGAAAATATTTCAAGAAGTGCTCATGGTGCCAGGCCTACGGAAAGATAAGATCAGACTCCTTTTGTTTTATTATTTATTTTTATTTACTTATGCTGGGGTGTAGCCCGGGGTGGGAGTGAGAGAATTCACTATAGAATAGGGAACAGAAAAGGCAGAAATACACTGCAGCAGGTAGCAGCAGGCGGGTCAGGAGAGGTCTGCCGTGCCGTGTGGGTCAGCTCCCTGGCTGGGATCAAACTCGTGCTGCAGCAGCTGGTGATAGCTGTGACTTGAGACTTTGACCCCTACACCAGCAGGGAGGCCCCAGACTCTCTTGTTGGCGCAGTGACTCTCAGGCCCTGCCGGTGACTGCTGATGGGCCTAGTGACCTCCCACCCTTGCAGAAGACCCTAATATTGAGAGCACTTACTCTTTTTCAGGCTCTTTGCGTTGTTTGACTCTATGGTGTCACTTACATCCCCACTCTATGGAGGGGCAGTGGGTAGGTGGAATTCTCTCTGCTCTTTCGGAAGAGGAAGTTAAAGCAAGAAGAACCTAAAGTCACATGGCTACTAAATGACCAAGAGGGGATTAGATCCCAGTCTGTCTGACTCCAAAACCCATTACTCTGTGCTGTAGGCGCCCAGAGAATAAGCAGTGTTCTGATTCATCATTATATGTCTCCTGGGATCTCAAACAGCACTTTGCACATAGATGAGGCTTGGTAAATATTATTGATTTGAACTCTGACCCGACTTCCTGCATGTCTTTAGTGTTCTGGCATCTCAGGGTGCGCCCAACTTTCTCTGAAGAAGCCATTCCACTCTGCTTGGTAAAGCACATGTTCTCTGGGTTCAGTAATAGTATCAAATGTGCTAAGTTTACAGTGTAGACAGGAAGAGAACAAAATGAAAGTGAGTTTGTTTTTCTCCTCCAAATAACTTTTGAAAATGTAATCATCCCTTAGGAGTGTTAACGAGTCATATCAATAGTGTCATCCAAAAAAAAAAAACACCCAACAAAACTCCTGGCAGTCACCCTAGAAGAATAGCAGAAGCGTGACCGAATTCTACTGAAACCACCCTCTTTTCCCTTCTCAGGAGTATGGTGCATATGGCTGGTGGGTTGGCGAGCTGAACAGCATCATCGGAGTTGTCCCCAAGGAGTACCTCACCACCGCCTTCGAGGCAGAAGAGTGATGAAGCTCAGGTATCAACCATCACTAATAGATTTGCCAGCCAAGCCTTCGTTTCTCTGCAAAGGCTATGTCACTGCTGAAGTAGCATTTCATTTCCAGACAGGACTGCTAATGACACACCATTGCAAGATGAATCTGGAATTGTTTTTCCTACATTGGGGGACTGTATGCATTAGGGTTAGGTTCAACCACAAATGACAACAAATCCAAAATAACAATGATTTAATGAGTAGAGAGGCTTGTTTGTCTCCTCTGTAAATATCTGGAGATGAGGAAGTCAAGATATCCAGGTTCCAGGCACCTTTTCTTTTTGCTTTGTGTCTTTTTGTGTGTGGTCAACATACCCAAGGTTACTTCATGACCCAAGATGGTTGTCTCAGCTCTACTCATCTGTGTTGGCAGAAAGGACATGATGAAAGAAAAGCACACGTTTTCTTTTAAAGGGCCATCACTGAGGGCCTCCCTGGTGGCCTGGGAATTAAGTCTCTGTGGCCTGAGTTTGATCCCAGCCAGGGAACTGACCCCTGTATAGTGCAGCAGACCTGTGTGTCTTGCTCATTGCTCCCCTCGGCAGTGTATTTCAGTAGATCTGATTGTTCTGCTCCCCACTCTTGTCTCTTATGAATCTTCTCACCCCCCGAACCTCTGGCCTACACCCCAATTCTTCTACATGACAATAAATTTTTAAAAAGTTTAAAGGACACAGGCCCTCCCTGGTGGCGCAGTGGGTTAAAGCGCAGCACTATAAGCGAGCTGCAGCCACCTCAGTGCGAGTTCGATCCTGGTCCCGGAGCTGACCCACATGGCACGGCAGACCTCTCCTGACCCGCCCGCTGCTCCCCTCAGCAGTGGACTTCATCAGTAGGCCTGTTCTGCTCCCCACTCTGTCTCTGATGAATCCTCTCACCACCCCTGTGCCTCTGGCCTGTACCCCAGTTCTGTATGAAAAAGTAAATCTTAAAAAAAAAACTCTTAAAAATAATTTAAAGGACACATCACAGATGTTGCACACACCACTTCTGCTTACACTGCATTGGCCAGATGTGTACACACAGCACTGCAGAGAAACCTTTGTTCTAGAAAGCCTGGTGTCCAATGTCAAAGCTAAGGGAGGTAGTCACTATTAAAAATAGGAGAATGGATATTGGGGGACAACTAGAAATTTTTGCCACAAGGATGGGTTTGCATTTCTTTATCCCCAGCTCTCACATCCATGTACAGCAGTGAATCAGCTGTCTTTGGAATCTTCCAGGTGAGGTGCCAGTCTTGTAGGCTGAGTGGATTCACTTAGGAAAATACTTAAAGCTAGATCTTAGCCTTCAATGCCTTCTACAAACATAAAGCACCAGCGTGGGACTGTTGCTCAAGTCGACTTGCTGACTTTCCCAGTGAGGACTCCATTTCTTGGCCATGAATGCAGAAGAGTTGGAAGTTTTCTGTCTGAACTAATTCACCCTACTTAATGCTCCCCTTTATTTCATCATTCCCCCATTTTCTTCCACCAACAATTCCATCTCTAGGAGTTTATCCAGAAGCTACACTTGCACACACGCACAATGGTTATTTGTTAGTAACAGCAAACCTATTGTTCTAGACAACAGAGACCCAGACAAATAACTGTAGTACATTCCTAAAATAGAATACTATGCAAGCGTCAAAAAGAAAAAAGAGTGCGCTCTGAATGGCATGGGATACATTCTGAGATATGGCGGTAAACTTTTTTAAAAAGCAGGATCGAAGGGCAGGCTAGTTTTCTAACTTTGTATAAAAAAGGAATCTCCAGAGGCTTAAAAATGTATAAATATCTCTGGAAGGAAAAAGAAAATGATGACATTGGTTGCCTCCAAGGACAGAGAAATTGCATGGCTGTGAGATTGGGTAGGAGGAAGATCGTTTTTTACTCTGGCTCTGTATACCTTCTATTTTGGAATCACAAAAGCAAATTTGTGCCTTTTTCTTCCTTTAGGACATATATCCTTCTCTCTTTCCTGCCTTATTGAAGAAATTGATCAGCAAGAGCTCTCATTCCCCACCACCCCATGAACACCATGAATTCTTTATTAAAGAGACCCCTATCTCTAACACCTTGTAACTGTGAACCCCATAAGTCCAGTGGGAGAAGGCGGCACAACTGTTCCTAAAGCTGCCTTGTCACCCCTTACCCCGTCGCTAACCAGTCCGCACACTCATTCCACCATCCCCTAGGCTGTGACAGAGAAGGGGAGAGAGAAGGACACCTGGGGAGGAGGGAGCCGCGGGCGTTGGGCTGGTTTGAAAAGCACAAATAAATGTCAGATTTGACTCCTTACCGTGTATGCTGGTTGTTGTTCTTTCTTTTTTGAAAGTATCAAAATGTCAGTTCTAGGCATTCTCCTCACCTCCAAAGTAGGAAGAGATAACCAGAAAGAAAGCAAAAGCCCAAAGAGAAGAGGCCTTGCCATTGTCTTGCAGGGGAGAATCATCTCTGGAAACCCAGCAGCCCCGGTTTCTGTTTGGCTTCTTAGACTTCCTTTGGTCACTTACTTGGTTGTTTTTTCTTAAGTGCTGTCTCTGAAATGAGACAGGACGGGAAGCAGATCTTTGCAATCAGCACATTGGAGAGTTCCTTTTAGGCCTCAGTTAACCACGTCACAGAGTCCTGTGCCTCCAAGTGCCAGGTGAGAGATGGGGAAACGCCTTGGGGGAGGGGTGGCACTGCTGCAGCCCTGTGTCCTCTGCCTGGCACGTGGGTTGTCTGTGCCTTGAAGAGGCAGCAAGACATAGTGGTTAAGAGTGTAAACTATTGGAATCAGGCCCTCCCTGGTGGCGCAGCGGGTTAAAGCACAGCACTGAGAAGCTAAGGCCACGAAAGCATGAATTGGATCCCCACTGCGCAGGTGACCCACATGGCGCAGCAGACCTCTCCTGACCCGCCCACTGCTCCCCTCAGCAGTGTGCTTCATCAGTCGGCCTGTTCTGCTCCCGGCTCTGTGTCTGGTGAATTCTCTCACCGCCCCTGCCCCTCTGGCCTGTACTCTGTATGCATAAATAAATCTTTAAAAAAAAAAGTATAAACTATTGGGATCAGACAGCCTGGTCCTGACTCACAGTCCCCCATGTACTACAGATATTCACTAGGGCCAGTTACTTTCCTTGCATGCCTGGGTTCCCTCGCCCTAGAAGGGGCATCCTGGGTGATCCCACTGGGTGATTAAGAAGGTGAAAGAAATATATGCCACACTTGTCATGACACCTGGCACATAGTAGCTGCTCAGTAAGAGTTAGCTCTTGTTGCCTGATTCTCTACAGGAGACATTTTGAAAGATGGGCAACAGAGAAACTATAAAAAGTCAAAATTGCCTACCCAGAGTGGTCCTGACTTGGCAGCTACCTTCCTCGCCTCTGTTCCAACTACGTGAAAGCCCAGTCGCCAAAAGGGAGAAACTAGAGAGCGAAGGGGTTCTTGTCCGTGCATTCCAAGTTTCCCAAAACGAATGCCAGCCATTCGTTTCCAGATTTTCTAACTCAGGAGTAGAAGGAAGAAGCTGGTTGTGTATGTGATGGGTAAGGAGGTAAGAAAATGGAACGATTTAGGTCTGGGAGGGGAAAAGAAGAGAGTAAGATCCAAGAGGACACAGATCTACACATAATGTCCCCTCTTTACACAGGGTGCGAAAGGAGAAGGAACCACTAGGTGGCAGCATATGAGCAGATGAACCAAAGAGAACCACCTGCCTCTGTTTTCCGGACTTTTGCACCGATCCCAGCCTACAGGTAACAGCAATCGGCAGTGTTCTAAGGATTTTCCTCGGTGTCCCCAATTTCTTCCTTCTCTGGAGAACCCAGGGACCGAAGTCCGAAAGGCCGGGTGGCTAAGAAGAGGAAAGTGCCAGTTTGCCTCTGTTCTGAGAGACCCCAGAAAGGGGGACCAGACAGGTACAGGGCAGCATCAGAAACGAGCAAGATCAAGGTGACTCCCATTCTCTCTGCACAGGTCAAAGCTCTCTCAATACCACGCCATGGGTTTCCAGCACTCAAAACAAAGTCCCCTTAGCACACCAGTCTGTTCCATGCCTGAAGAGCCGAGGAAATGACCATTTGCCAAACTGCAAAGGTCGTTTAGTGCCTCTTTGCCCTGCAGCATAACTCCCACACTCAGCCCCTCTGGCAATACAGCTTAAAGGGAAAATGGATGGGCCCTAAAAGACAGGAACGAATGGGCCGGGTGGGACGGTTGTCCGTAGTCCTCTGAGTATCTGTGGCACAACGGGAAAAGTAGTGCAAATTCCAGGGTTGAGAGGACTATCTCCAAGGGAAAGGTGCCCTCTGTGAGGCTCTTCTGTCTGAAGCTCAGCTTGACCCAGCAAAACTGTTCCTCACTCAATCTGACGGCCGCCATCCTAGCCAACAGCTGCGGAGGGACCTGGCCGATGAGATCACCCTCTTGCTGTTTGACTCACTAACCAAATGCCCTCTACTGCCTGTGACTAACTCGATAACGGGGCATTAGACCACTGAAGAAGCTGCATTATATGTAGGGCAGCTTCTTAATAGCCAGTAACTGCTCTGGCATGTGAACTAGGAGAGTGGGAGAAGAAAGGCTTTTCCCTTCTTTGATTTTCTGTAAAAGTGGAAAAATAAGAAAGCTAAGGCTATGCATTTAAAAAGCGAATATCCACCTTGTATACATACATATGTAATAATTTATGCAGAATTTATTGACATCCTCCACATAATCTGACCTGGGGGTGAGCAAATGTTCATCCCCAAATGACCTGTGTTGTCCCAACTGATATCTGGAAATGCTAAATGCTCTGGAAGCAATCTTTCAGCTACATTACAGGAAAAGAAATGCGTTTTTCTAGTGTGTTTTCTCTGTCATTCATATTGCAAAGTAGCATAACAGTTGAATTGACCTCAATATTAAATTTTCCCATATAATGGCCTGTTATATCTCTCACAAATCTGTATTTAATTCAAAACCAACTTCGTCTTTCCCCCTAGTGAATAAAAAACAGGAAAGAGAAGAGAGTGCCTATGAAGTCTCATCCCTAAACCCAGTTTGATTCCATTTAAAGTGAGAAGATAGAAAAGGTGGCGCTGAGATCTGCTCCCTCCTTCTTGAAACAGACACTTTGTCTGAATTTGAGAGGTAAGTGGCATCCTGGATTCAAGTTATTGGCTTTTTTTTTTTTTTTGACCTTTTTTGTTTTAAGATTCATTTATTTTTACATACAGAACTGGGGTACAGGCCAGAGAGGCAGTGAGAGTCTTCACCAGAGACAGAGCGGGGAGCAGAACAGGCAGATGGACGAAGTACACTGCTGAGGGGAGCAGCGGGCGGGTCAGCAGAGGTCTGCCAAGCCGGTGGATCACCTCGGGCTGGGATCGAACTCGTTCTTCGGTGTCTTTAGCTTCTTAGTGCTGTGCTTTAACCCGCTGCGCCACCAGGGAGGGCCTGACTTCTTAAAACACTTTGGTTTGCTCAGTTGCACCGCCTTCTTTATTACCAGTTAGCCTTGTGAGGCACAAAATGGGGCCTCTGAAAGTGGTGCCCTGGATAAGTCAGAGAATCTGGTGGAAAAGGAAATGAAAGACTTGGAATCCTGTCAGCCACCTTGCTGTAGAACCACTGCGTTCCAAGGTCAGACACGGCCCGTGACACAACTTCAAACCCACACTTCACCCCGGTCACTTGTGTCACCAGGAGCAAAGAACAGGGCGGCACCCCTGCCTGTCCAAACCAGCCACAGTTACTTAAGGAGGGGATGCCAGAGGGGGACTGGAATTCAGGGACCAGGCCCCCCAAAAAATAGCCTGAGAAAGATGGAGTTGAAAAGAGCAAGAAAAATGAATGACTGCATTTAGAAGTCCTTTTTATTTTTAATTATTTATTTATTTATCTATTTTGCATCTTAACCCTCGCAGATGCCAGGAACGGGGTGCTTCAACCTTTAGCCAAAGCATTTCTCCTCCCAGGTCTCCCCACCGAGAGTGGCGCTGGAAGGATAAATCTTGAGTGGTACTGACTTGTTAATTCCCAGAGCGCCAGCAAAATCTGTGGAGCTGACGTTAGAAAACGCAGCCATCTACAGAGGATTATTCCTGCTACACAGTCCAGTGACTCAAGCTAATTTTCTAGTTTGTGGATTACCACCGCCCCATGCTCCTCCCTTCCCTCCTGCGCAGCTATTTCATTTCCCACTAGAATGTACAGAGATTGAGTAGGGAATTTTAAATTGACAACTGAAAGGAGATTTGTCTTTTGCAAGGGATCTGAATTGTTCTATTTCCCTATCAAAAACTAACAGTTCAGGAAACATGCTGGGGGGTGTTTGTGAATGTGATTTCATGACAATTCTTTGAGATTCAGTTGATTCATTTTAAGATGTGGCACATTTTGTACAAAAATCTTTCCTAGATACTCTCCCCCAAAATACTGTGTTAAGGGGAAAATGACATACCATTTAACAAGGTATACGTGAGTTTCTAACTGAAGACACCTTTACGTGAGTTTCTAACTGAAGACACCTTTGAGCCAGAGGAGGGAGTTATCACGACACTAACACCACAGGTGTAAATGAGAGCTGAGTCACCCCTAAAAACCAGGCAAAATGGCTCACCCAGCCATCAGGGGAATGGACAGTAAGAGAGAGATGGCCTTGCTGTCCTGACCAGACCCTTGGCAATGTCCCTTCTAGTAAAGCCCTCACCCTGCAGACCGTGCCTCGGTGAAGTGTGCCAACCAGGCTTTCCTTTCCTGAGGCCCAGGCTGTTCTGAGGAGCCTGGCATCAAGCTGTTCGTGGGGCTGGCTGGCTGGCAGCAGCTGTGTGTGTTCAGTTCCCTCCCGGGGCCCCATCACAGCCTGTCACCCCTCCACCTGGCCCAGTGCCACCCAGGAAAGCATTTTTGTGGCGCTGGGCAAGAATAGGCCTCTTCCTGCCTCTGGGGATGGGAGTGAGTTCCAAGAGCTTCTAGTGCTGGTCCTCAAAGAGGGCATCTGGTTCCACTGCAGACGCTCTTAACCTGATGGTGAACAGCTGGCCACCTTTAGCCGCACGTCCCAGAACAGAGCACAGGAACAGAGCACAGACTGTGAACACTTTCCTCTCTCCCTCCGTCCGACGCTCCTGCATCTCTCGGCCTGAAAGGTGGCACAGGCACACTGCCACCTACTTTCCCTGGATGCCCCCACCAGGATGGACCCTGCCAGGCCTGTCACTGACACTGCACGGCTGGGCAAGCGCCTTGCCACTGGAGGCGTGAGACCCTTTCTTCAACATCGGCAAGCAGTGCAGGAAGTTCGGGGGGCAGAACTCAGAGGTT